ACACAGATTACATTATTTATTTATTATTATCATTATTTTTTTCCTTAACAATAAAGTAATGCTCTTTGCTTGAAAGGGAGTGAGAAGAAGTGAAACACTTGTTTACTCCCACCCCCAACTACAAAATAAAACTAAATACTGGATACCGTCCTGTACAACATAAAGTTACAACAAAGTTTTACATTATACTCTGTCTGTCAGATTAATACATAAACACGTGCAAATGCACACATACATACGCACATATCTTTAAATATACCTGAGTACACGTACATATATACATACACACACATCCATATACATGTACACATATATATATACTAACACGCACAATCGACACACATATAAAGCTTGTATAAGACAATAAAATATACCTATATTCTCTTAGTCTACTTTTGTTTTTAAGTTGGAACCTAACACTATTTAGAACGTTTGATCTAATTTGTATCTCATTAATATAATTTCTTTGTACTTAGATTTGAATTTCCAAAGTACTGTGGACTGTTTGAGGTCGTCCCCCAAACCATTCCAGAGCCGGACCCCACGTACCGACACACACATACTCTTCCGTGTCGTTCTCACGGCTGGAACTTTAAAGATATTAGAACCCCTTAAATTGTGTTTTCCCTGTCTTATTTGAAAAAGTAATTGAATTTTTTTTGGCAGATTATTTTTACTTGCTTTGTACAATAACTGTGCTGTATAAAACTCAACCAAGTCATAGAATTTTAACTGTCTGGACTGCAGGAACAGTATGTTGGTGTGGTCATAGTAGCCGGCTCTATGAATGGTTCTTATTGCACGTTTTTGGAGTTTCCAGAGCGATTGTAGAGAAGTATTGTAATTGTTACCCCAGACTTCAATTCCGTAAATTAGGTAAGGTAGAACAAGGGAACAATACAATAAATCAAGGGCTTTATGGTTTAAAACATATTTTGTTCTATATAGCAAGGATATATTCTTGGAAATCTTGTTTTGTATATATTTGATGTGTGACTTCCAATCTAGTTTACTGTCAATCATCATTCCTAAAAATTTTTATTTCAGACACTTTTTGAATTGTTGTTCCTTCTATTTTTACTATGAGTTCTGATTCTCTATGATTCCCGAAAAAAATTACTTTAGTTTTTCTCCAAGTTAAGAGATAACTTATTCGTATCCATCCATATTTTGATTTTCTTTAGTTCGTCATTTACTATATTAATTAGAGTGTTTAAATGGTCATGACTATAAAATATGTTAGTATCATCAGCAAATAAAATCATCTTCAGTATATTGGATACTTGAAACAAATCATTAATATACAGAACAAATAGTTTTGGCCCCAAAATAGATCCCTGTGGAACTCCACAAGCGATGCCTCTACGCTCTGATTCAATATCACCCATCCTCACAAACTGTGTTCTCTCTGATAGGTAGCTCTTGATCCAATTCCATGACACCCCCCTAATACCATACCTTTCTAATTTTTTAAGTAAAATTGAATGATTGATAGTGTCAAAAGCTTTTTTTAAGTCTATAAAGATTCCAACTGCATGTCCCTTTTTGTCTAAAGCGCTGGTGATTTCTTCAACCGCTTCAAGAATTGCCATTGTTGTGGATCTGTTTGATCTGAAACCGTATTGTCCTTCATTTAAAATGTCACATGTATCTAAAAAACTTTCTAGGCGCTTATTAAACAGTTTTTCAAGAATTTTGGAAAATTGAGGGAGCAGAGAAATGGGTCTGTAGTTGGTGAAGATGTGCTTATCTCCATTTTTGAATAGAGGTATAACTTTGGCTGTTTTCATATTTTTGGGAAATGTTCCAGTCTGAAATGAAAGATTACTTTTATAATAAAAGATTATGAAAGATCTTTAATAATAGAAACTAACTAGGACCCATTTTTACAGTTTTGGTGGAAATTTCATCCAGATTACATAATGTTTTTCAGTTTGAGGATTTGTATTAATCTTTTCTTTCTTTCTTGGAGAACTCGGACAACTCACTCTTTTAAGAGGGCCATCCTTCTACTTGGACATCCACATCATCTCTTCGGGGACGATTGTTCTTCATTTGTTAAAGCTGTAGAAGTAAGATTTCAACATTTACGTCTAAACTTTGATCTAAATTATTAACATATATTTTTATTTGTTGTTCCTACACCCGTGAGGAGCTTATGAACATCCGTCCCACCGTTCCCATGGACCTACTGCCTGTTTTCTTGGCACCTGCGGCTGATTTAGTTCATGTTCTTCCGTTTCCTGGGCACCACCATCACCCAGGACCTCAAGTGAGAGCCGACCATCAGCTCCCTCATCAAGAAGGCCCAGCAGAGGATGTACTTCCTGCGGCAGCTCAGGAAAGCCAAGCTGCCTGCACAGATGTTGGTGCAGTTCTACACGGCCATCATCGAGTCCATCCTCACCTCCTCCATCACCGTGTGGTTCGCTGGAGCCACAGTCAGGGACAAACAGAGACTACAGCGCATTGTGCGCTCTGCAGAGGAAGTGATCGGCCGCAGCCTTCCATCGCTGCAGGACCTGTACGTCGCCCGAGCTCGAGGCCGGGCTGGTCGTATCACAGCCGACCCCTCTCACCCTGCACATGGACTATTCCAACCACTCCCCTCAGGCAGGAGACTGCGGTCCATCAGGACTAGAACCTCCCGCCACAAGAACAGTTTCTTCCCCTCTGCTGTTGGACTCTTGAACACTTCTTAACCTGTCCCCCCGCCCTTTATAAAGTCACTTTACTGCCCATCATACGTCACTTTACTTCACTCACTGCCCCATCACACATACCATCATATCAAAGTGT